ATTTTTTTTTTTTTTTTTTTTTTTTTTTCCATGAAAGAAGTATCGTACTGACATTTCGATTCGTTCTCCGAGTCTAACCTATAAATTTCACGGTGCGCGATAGTCAGAGAAATTGCCGCTCTTACCTTTCTCACGCTTCTTATACGTAAAAGTGGACGTACGAGCGAAATGTAAATTGCACTGAAATAATGTTTGGATAATTTTTTTTTCTTTTTTATTAAAAAAACACGCTTTACAGAAAATCTGAATTTTTCAACCACGTGTTCGTCCATTTCGTGCGTCACGATGACTGTTGTCAAGTCAGCTTGTAAATTATCAATTATCATCTTAGAACGAGTTTAACCGCACCGGTATTGTAATACACACGGTGACTGCTTTTGTTTAATACTGATAAAATGCCACTGATAAGCGTAATGCGTTGCGGCGTCTGCAGGCTCATCTCGTGGCTGCGGCTTCGCGCTCGTCCCGTGGTAATTCTTTGCGGTCGGCAGAGTCAATTCTCTTTCGAAACTAACGTAGAGGTAAGTTTAGGGGTTCAAGGCTTTACGGATTTCACGGTTAAATTGGAGTTTGATGAATGCAAATATTTACGTGTGAAATTAACCACGGTCCGATATCCCATTGTAATTTAGCTTGTGTTCGAGAAGCAGCCGGGCAGCCAGGTAGCAGAGTTAGGTGGTCGCGGGCGTGAGGCGTGAGAGGGCTGAAGAGTCGAAACTATTTTGTCAATGGAAGAGCACGTTTCTAATGTGCCTGAAAGTCTGACAAGACGATGACGAAGATGTACTGGAATTTATATAGAGAACGGACCGATCGGATACCTGACAATCATTAATATCTGAGGGGTGGCTAAGGTGTATGAATTTTTTTGAAAAATACATTTTTAAACGAATATCCTCTGGGGGAAATAATTTCTGAACGTATAAGAGAATGGTCGAGTGGGGATGCGCAGCTGGCTGGAAAATTTGTATGGTAAAAATTCTTGCATTGTGACGAGGACTGCTTGAGATACCTTGGTATACCTGTATACAGGCAAAGCTATAGGAAACCGAGGGTTGTACTATCTCGTAAAGAATTTCACGGGGGTCGATTCACCAAAGCGTGAGCTTCGCTTCTCGACACGTAACAGACGTAAAACGACTCAACGAGGCGTTTTGTGCCAGTATGGTAACTCAGGTTCTAGTTACCTCTTGCGACTGTGAGAGATAGGATATCCTGAAAGGAAAGTGGCCCCCCGTGGCGGCGGCGTTCACTTCTTAAACTGTCCTTTGCTCTCCGCTATAATCTTCAGTGCGGGAGATTAAACTTAAGGATGGACCTGGTTTGCTCCATTTTTGACTTTTTGAGAATAATTTGAAAAACTCTACCGAAATTTTATTCGCCTGGATTCAGCATGGGACCGATATAACTTTTACTCGAGTCGTCACCGATTGAATGTGCTTTGTCGAGGATAAAGACTGATTTACGATCGGGAGATTTATCATCCTCTCGATGTATTAACGGCGTTTCGGATTAATGACTGGAGGCAATAATTCGCGTTATTTTTAGAAGGCCTTTTAATACAGGCTGATTAGCCCTGCGCTTCTTACTTGACTTTGGTCTGATTGTCAAATGGCGCCGACTGATTTGCATGCGACAGTCGCTGATGGGTTTTCTCGAAGGGTTAATGGGGGAACTGAGGTTGCTCTATTCTTCATTGCGAATCCTGACCACGTGGTCGTGACACCCATAAATATTTTTATGTCGAACCTCGAGGGTGGATGGGGTGAAATATAATTTTTGTTAATTTGTCTAGTATCATTTGAAAAATTTTGAAAAAAAAATTTGTAAATGTTAATGAATTTGGAGTAGAGTATGCAAACGATAATGCTTTTGGTAAGGTTTAACGAAGTTTGGTGTAAATCATGATTGGGTGCAACAACGGTTCGGTGTGACAAGTACAGAAAGGTCCGGTTTTCAAAGGTGGGCTCTCCCCACAGGTTCACGACCCCACTTACGGCCAACTGGTTTTAATTGTAGCGTAATTGAGATTAATGGAAAGGCATGCGGGTCCCTATGATATCACCCGCCTCGAATTACGATTAAACAACCCGCGGCGAAAAGTAGCACAGTCCTTTACATCGTGCGGCAAGACTTTTGAGGATTGTGAAAATGCGAAGTGTGAAAGGAAATTTTGAGATCATTCGTTGTACCGTTAGAAAAGTGTGAAGGAATTGAAACCCGTGAGATATGGTACCGCGAGTTAGGCCCTTTGGCGTTAAAGAATCAATCTCGTGATTAGGAACTGGGATATTGATAATTATCGAAGACGTCGCTGGGAGATAGTGACGTTACACAACGCGCACTGCATGCCTGCGAAATTACCCTATTATTACTTCATCTAGTCCAGACTGGTGCGAGTCGTGCTTTCCTCCTGCCTCCTGGTCGTTTGCCACCAGCAGCTACACCAGCAATCTTGTTCCGTTCTTTATAGTTCTGTTAGGTTAGGTTGTTCAACCCCTTTCGCAAATGGAAAGCCGATTTCACACGCTTCTTCTCCGTAAATTTAATGAGTCCACGAGTCTCTAATTAATTGGCTCATTTACGTTATACCTAATTACAAGTGATCGGGTCTAATACACGTTAAATACACGATAAAATACACGTTACACCATATTAATAATGCCAATCTCTGACTACGAATAATTTCTGAAACTCGTTTTATTTCACATACCGGAGTCCAACGCTTGTCCGGAGCACAGAGTTTGAATGTTAAATTAGTACTGTCCACCCACGTGGCAGCGTCGGATCAAATTCAAAATTGTTTCTTGAGCAAAGCGTAGGTCACTTCCTTGTGACACAGCGATCGTGGGTAGTGTTCCGACTCTTGAGCCATCCCGAGGGAACCGAGAGAGAGAGAGAGAGACAAGAAGAAACGAAGGAAGAGAAGCAAAAGAGTGACGTAGTAGCGCAGTTGCATCGTACCGAAGAGACTCGACGCCGACAGCCGGTTGGCTGTTGTGTGGTGGTTTGGCAGCTTCACAGGCAGCTTGAGGCTCCCAGCAGCGGCTGACTATCGCACGGCTCACGGCCTGCGGCCTGCGGCCTGCGGGCGCCGCGCCGCGCCGTGCAGCCAGCAGCGTGCCTGCAACTTACTGGTTAGTGTTACTTGGGCCGTCGCGCTATTCGGACGCATTCGCGGTTGCGCTCGACTCCGTTCGGTTCCCTTCGGCTTTGCTCGGCTCCGCACGATTCTTGAATCGACTCTCGAATCGTTCCCTCGCGCGCTTCGCCGCTGCTCTGACGTTTCCGTCGAAGACGCGTGATCGTGCTTTCGCCGTACTCTTATTCTCCGCTCTTACGAGAATCTTTATTTCTTTTCATTTTGTACCTCTTGCCAGCCATTTACTCGCTGCTTTGTTTTCTGCCCGAGGCTCTCTGTATACGTAATCAGGGGATTGTTGACAGGCGATCTTGTAAAGTTCGACCCTGTCACGCACTCGTGGAGAAGTGAACTTTACCACCAGAGAGAAATCGGATAACGTCAAGATATCGGTTCATGATTTGATTTGGGAACGACAGTAAAATCTATCAAAGTTCCACCGAGGTGACTGATCCTACAACCTCTGTCAGTGATTTTATCGGGCTCGTCTAGGGTCGGTTACTCGTACGGGATCATTGTCTACCTTTTTATTCGTACGTGTTCAGTGTGACTTCTGTATTTACCATATAACCACGTGTATCTAGATCAAGTTCTGTAAAAAGAGTGCGCGACAAGTTGAAGTTCTTTTATTGTGGGTGTTTCTGTATATACAAGTGTGTACGGCGGTTGGATGAAAACGTGGATACTCTGCTGACTAGACTCGTCGCCATACGGAGGACAGCATCGAATTTAATGGTAAGTCAAGACACACCAAGCGTATTTTATTTTTCTACTCGGAACAACGCAGCGATTATGTTCGATCCACTCATGAAAAGTCTCGATCAGATCTAAGAACGCAATGAGATCACTCGCGTCTGACGCATAGATCCGCCGCCTACATATGTATAATATTTTATTAATTTGGGCTCGTAGAGAAAAAGATTAACGCCGCTCCATTACATCATTGCTAATTCATCGGAGCAACCGAATACCATTAGAAATTTTATTCGAGACTCGACTGCCGCGCCATTCAGTGGCTCTACTGGCATTTACTCCTCGATCCCATGTTAGAAAGAGCCTAACGCTAAGCCGGCACGTGTAAAGCAATGCCATAACTTCGGTCCCCGAAGATCGATGAATAAAGATAATGTTAACGCTTATAAACAACATGAATATTCATAGCATCACGTAAGATCGCGATTGCACTAGGACTCTACATCCCATAGTTAAATACCTTGCTCTTCCGCCGATTCAAACCAACATCCATTCCCATCCACGTTTTACAGTTGTCATTGGAAACTCCACAAATACCTCAAATATTTTTGTTGCCAGATGCATCTTTTTTTAACAGTCTCAGCTTCCACCCAAGGCAATTTACATTGCTGGTAATAACAATCTGTCCATGAAAGGATCGGGAGTGTAGAATGGGACCAGACAGGCGTACGTGTCGGCAGTTGGATTGCGAAAGTTTAAGTCCCGCGACAATAGGTCCCATTGGGACCCTAGACTATCTAGCGCGGGAGTGAATTATTTCTCAGTATAATCGGTGTGCGAGTGGAGTGACGTTAAGACGTGGGTCGAATTTAATAAATTGTCGATAAATCTTATCCGGCGAATGATTAAATGCGTGCGAATTAAATATTTCTTTTTAAACCGGTAGGACGACACGGAGATGCATTGAATTTTTGACCTCTGGGAATCCTCGTAACGAATGCGTGGGTTATTATTTATATGCCGCAAAGATCGATCGAGTCCTCGTGACGTTTTCCTGGGTATTCTCCGAAACGGAAGCGGCGGTTTACCACTCCTGGACTTTCCAAGAATATAAATAGATAGGATTTCTTTGTACAGTCCGAAGTTCACCCTGACCATTGACAAAGTAACAGATAAGGTAAATCGTAGGCTCGCTTTAAAGATATAATTTCATAGCGTAGATTGCTTCTAAACTCTTGCATCGATTTTTTCCAAGAGTCACGTGGGCACTTTTTCGTCACAGCGTTGTTTGTTACGTTGGTGTTCTACCGGAGCGTGTGCATGATGAATGGTAGCCGACACTCTTGAAATAAAGGTATCTTGCGCAAGAACTTCGAATGTTGGCTTTCTCTAAAAATAGAAAATAGAAGCCCGAGGATAATGAGATGCACGGTCGATGAAATTCTTCGTGATTAACCCCAGAGCTCCCAACTCTTTAGCTACTTCTGTTCGGTGCACGTGTCGAACACGTGTCCCCGCAAGGGAACCATAACTCACAGCGAGACGCTTCGGCAATTCGTGTCACCCTAGTCCCTTCCTACCGAGAAAATAGTTTTCCCCAGTTTCCAAGAAATTCCTACCTCGGGCACGCTATCCGAAGGCGCGCTCGACCTCGCCCGAGGTCTTGCGAATTCAACCGACCTCAAGTCCGCCTCCAGGTAGACGAGAACGAAGGATTAACCCGTAGCTGTTCCATTTGGTTCCTGCTTTTTCTTAAGGCCTCTCGCGGCGGCTGTCCGCTCCTGCTATGATTTACGCGCAGCATTTATGACGCAACGTAAAATGACGCAAAACTCCGGAGGCCTAAGTCGACTCTGGAGAAAAGGCGCGAGGAGCCGTTAAAGCCGTTGTTTCGCCCCCACGTGATCCTCACGCGGGGATTTGCGCGTATATCTTACGAGGGATGAAGAATAAAGAGTTTGCGCACGTAAAACGGAACCCAGCCAATCCGAACGGCTCGAAGATCCTCGTCGATTACAGTTTGCGCGCCGAACTCGTGTTTTTACGAAAAATCATCAATGAACCAACCGGGTTGCTCGGGACCTCGTTGCGCGAGGCAAGAAAAACAAGAGAATTTCTGGCACGAGATGTCGCGAACTTATCGCTGTTTACTTAATCGACGCGTTGCACCTCAATAACGGCTCACGGTATCTCCCGACCTTTATCGTTCGAACGATTGCGCCGATTTTTGCAGAACTTACTCCTTGTCCCACGCACGCCCGTGAATCATCGCGCCGCGATCGTCACGACTTTTTCCCCAACTCGTTGATTATCCGCACTACGTTTGGGAGCCGCGTGACGCGCAGCTGCCTCAACTTCTGACAGTCTTATCAATTTCCTTTTGTTTTTCTTTCTTCCGCATGACGTACCGGCTGATCCGTGCGCGACGGCAGGTCAGGTTAGGTTTATTTACGTACAGTCGTAACAACGAGGTGTCACTTTGAATCTATAGTACATACATATATTATATTACGTGCGTTACGCGTATTCGTGTACACATAACGTACGTAATAATTGTTTCTATTAAAATCGAGCGCTTATCTTACCCGATAAGGGATCAAGTTAAAGTGTTGTTCGCAGAGCGTGTTAGTCAGTATATCGGAGCGAGAATCAGCGTAGAATCGGTACAGAATGCAGGAGCCGTTTCTCCTATGTACGGGGCATATACGTAACCTTACGCGTAGAGGGTATAGAGGAACGTGTGTGGAGGCATTGAGTCACGTCGTAGGCCGATCCCAACAAGTCGAAATCACGCCCTGTGTCTCTCCAGTCTCATCCGGGATTATCCGATACGAATTAGCATACAAATCTGTAGCACCGGCATGGCAGTTTCGAGCGAGAGTCAAAAGTGGAACTCTAACCGCGAGTACCGTAGCTTTTAACGTGGCCATTATACGGGTTTACCGAATTGGCTGGTTTTAAGTATTTCTTTAAAATTCCTTCGCCGAAGGAGCCAGCCTGCATTTCCGCTCGTCGAGACTTCCGGTGCTATTTATTTCTGTTTGTAGCCTATGGCGATCCCCCCCTCACCCTCATACCTCCCCTTCGTCTACTCTCTTCCGCATCTGACTTCAATTTCATGCACGGCTGCTCACCTCGAGGCTTATCGACGTGCCTCGCGACAATGGCCTCTTACTTTTTTAATCGACTTTAATCGCCGGCTTCCCTTGCACGAAGTATGCGCAACACGCACAATATGCATCCTCAATTGTCCCGTTCACTCGGGCTAGCCTTTCTACGATGTAGAAGGTGTACCGGCTAATTAGAGAAATGCGTAGGTCCCGGGTTATCGCGTCTAAAGGATATTTCTATGTAGGCGATATCGTCACGTGGCTTCAATTCTCATGTAGGTACGCGATGCCGTTATGGAACCAGTTTTACGGACTTTGCACGATATCGAATAGTAGCTTCGGCGTGCCTGTATACGCGAAGCACGGGCCGGTCGCGTCGAATAGCCCGAGTCCCTCGTGGTTGGTCTCTCATTGTATTTTTGCGCGAGTGAAAGTCTTCCATTTGATGTATCGTGTCCTGCGGTGTGTCGCACGTTTGCACGATATCGAATAGTAGCTTCGGCGTGCCTGTATACGCGAAGCACGGGCCGGTCGCGTCGAATAGCCCGAGTCCCTCGTGGTTGGTCTCTCATTGTATTTTTGCGCGAGTGAAAGTCTTCCATTTGATGTATCGTGTCCTGCGGTGCGTCGATCGAAAGAGGCGTCGATCGAAAGAGGCGTCGATCGAAAGAGGCCTGTATACGTGAGCATCGAGTGGCCGTGTACTTTTGTTGGCTGATGGATATTTTTATCCGTGGATTTCGAAAATGAATTGGGGGGGGGGGGGGGGGGGGGGGAATTTTTTTTTTTT